TTGTTTTAAACACCTTCTTGCTTCCCACTGTTGAAGAGCAATTCGAAGATGGCGATTGCATCTTACAACACGATCGAGCAGCTGTTCATAATGCACGGCCTGTGGCGGAGTGGTTACACGACAATAACTTCCCTGTAATAGACTTACCTGCACATATTCCTTACTTGAATCATATCGAACACCTTTGGGATGCTTTGGAACGCCGACTTCGTGCCAGGCCTCACCGCCCTATATCGATACCTCTCCTCAGTGCAGCACTCCGTGAGGAATGAGCTGTCATTCCCCAAGAAACCTTCCAGCACACGAGTGAAAGCTGTCATCAAGGCTAAGAGAGGGCCAACAACCTATTGGATTCCAACATTCCGATGGAATTGAATTGAATTAATGCCTTATTTTACGTGGCAAGACTCGGGCCATTAGACTCGCTCTTCCGTCTGACCTCGCAAATTTTGCTACGCTCCTTTCACCAACTAGCGGAGAAAGGAGGTATTCTGGGCGACAAACAGGCGATTTGAATTTAGCTCTGAGGCGTCATTTAGGCTTGAGGATCTTTTACATGCAAGTAAATCTACTAACATGGGACAGCCGGCTTTACTTTCCCAATGGCGATGAAGGGCGCCACGAACTAGTAAGTCATTTTCAGCCGCGTGTCCGGATCCTTTATATATGCGATAGTGTACGTACTATCGGGCCAACGCAACCCGTTGCCCGGTTCCGAGCGACATCAACGCTGCCGGCGACCGAAGCAAGCAAGGGGGAGCTAGGTAGGGAAACGAGGGGGGGGGGGCGAGATGCAACTGCCTGGTCAAAAAAATATCCACAGCTTAATACGTGAGTTTGTATAGATAAACGAGTTTAGTACTGAAAGGCTTGCGAAGAGGAGGCTAAAATTTAAATGATCAAAATAAATAGGTCCAAATTTCATACAAACTCTATTTACTCTGCTCATATGATACCTGCGCTACCAATTTCAAAAGCTATGAATCACCTCATTTAGCTGGCATTTCCTCATTTAAAACAGAATTAGTACAAATCAATTAAACAGTTTTGTTGCATTACCTAATTGTGAAAAAAGGGAGAAGCGAAAAGAAAGGATTTGCAACAAGTGACTTTCGAAAATGAAGATGTGCGTTGAAGAGAAACATAATAATTGAAAAACAAAACATCAAGACCAGCCTGTATTTAATTCTTAACATTTTCGTCGGCTGGCATGCTTGGTAGGATACCAGACAAAATAATGCTGTGGCCTCCTGAGACTCCGTTTGGGCCCAGTGTGCCCCGTGGCGGGCGGGGGAGGGGAGGTATCGGAGGCTCGGCGCGGTGTCGGTCGACAAACGAGGCGCGCGTGGCGTAACGCGCGCAGGTCACGCCACCCTTCGCCTCGGAAGAGCGCGTGCGGAGGGCGACGGGTGACAGGCGACCGACCGCCCACCCCACCGCCGCCACGCCTGCGCCGCCAATCAACGTCGCCTGGTGCACAGAGTGTCTGGGGAGGAACCCTTGAAACTTCGAAAATAAGCTCTTGAGACAATTTTAAGCATATTTTGTCTAACAAACTACTTGGATATTCCGAATGGTTGAGCCGGAAAAGCTCAAAAGTTGGTGCGAAAAAATGCTTTCTAGGCAAAAATTTGAATTGCAGAAGCATAGAAACACCCCAGAAACATGTAAATTATTTACAAAAGAAATTAATAAATTTGTTCAGAAAGAAAAACATAGAAATAAAAAAGCAGTCGGAGTGTGTAAATGGGGTGCTTTTTTATTTCTGTGTTAATTTCCACGAATAACGAAGTCAAATTTAATGTGAAAATACAGATACATACATACATGAGGCCAACCAGTTACAACAGTGTAACAGACTGACGCTGACACCGACCACCGCACACGTGACTTTTCGACGCAGTTTTGCCAACCCATCGCGCTTGTTTGGTGACTTGGCGAAAATAAGGCCATCTCGTGTTGTCCGGGTCTCGGGTTAGCGAGGCTCGGTTTACCGCGACTCTACTGTACTATACACAAGTGACAAATCCCCAGCAGGTCCTGACCCCGAGAGTAGCGGATTTTCGTTTCTGTTAGCTTTTGGGAGGCCCTTACCTACCTTCATTCAGCCGCGGTTTATGAGAGAAAATTCTAATACTCGGCTGCTCTGGTCCGTAGTTCTCCGTGGGTTCTACAATGCCTGCCGCAGGAATAATCTAACAAACGAGATATACACCTCGCGCAGTCTTCTCTTCAACATCCTTGCCCCCGCGCCCCTTACACACACACACACATGCACACTTTCACCCCACTTTCCATGCATGGGGTATGGGGGAATTCCAAACCTAATAATATTTCAGAATTATTTTTTTAAACACAACCGAAGAATGAGAAAAAAAGTCGAGTATGTACATGTAATTTTCAATATTTTAAAATGTATTATTCCAATCTTTGCAATAAAAACTACAACACCCTCTTTGTTACATTGCGACTATCTTCCCCTCATTCTTCTAATGTTACAATTTAAAATACTCGTATTTTTTTGTTTATATTACTCTAAATAATTTAAAAAAAATTTACTCTAAATATTTACGCGAAAAAAAGTAGTGTGGGTACTATCAATGTCCATCACTGCTATCACCCTAGATCCATAGTAAAGGGACGCACATTGGCGATGATCCTTGACTACGCGTGTCCGAATTCGGAGACAAGGCTCTGGCCTTCGGCCTTGGCGATTAAAAGTCCTTCGTCTGCCCAACGCATTTTTTGCCAAAGAACTCTTTTAACTCGAGATTTTGACGCTTAGCTACGCGTGTTCCAATTAGATGACAAGGCTCCGGCCTATGCGATTAACATAAAACATCCTCGAGTCTCTCCAACGCATTTTATGTACCTTTTTTGCGTAACTCTTAACTAGAACGTTTGACGCTTTCCTACGAGAGTCCAAGTTGGGTGTCGAGGCGTCGGCCTGGGCGATTAACATAAAACCTTAGACCTGTGCAACGCACTATCCTAAGACCATCGAACCACTTAAACGAAATACCACTGTCAATTGAACTACCTAAAAAACAACGCCCTTCTTCCCGCCACTCGTTCTTCGCTTTCGTTTCTCGATCCCGCGAAGTCTGAGTCGGCTCGTAACGGCGTACGAAAATTCTCTTGACCGTGACCGTGGTTAAGAGAACGCCATCTACAATGGCGATGATAAGACCCTTCATTACATAGTACGGTAGTTCCATTAAAAATATATTTCACGATATATCTTAATACAGGTATCTTAATTCACGATAAGCGATTCACAGACGCACAATTTATGGTAGTTTTATATGAGAATACATACTCCACTTTATATCTTTGAGTGCAAAGCTTTCAAGAAAGAACGGGTAAAGTTTGGCCGAAACGAGTAAATCCAAGACGTGAAAGAGATTGAAGAATTATTTTATAAAAAAGAAATATATATTTAAACACAAAACAAGTCATCGATAAACATTTAAATTTAAAACTCGAAACTCCTAGGTGTGGAACTCCATACTCAAAAGCATTTGGTGTTCACTGTAATGCTTTCCGCCAGACGCAACTTAGATTACCGAACTTCTATAATGATTAGACAAGGAAACTGAAACAATAAATCTGCAAAATGATCTTTTGCGATTTTCTGCAAAACCACATTTTAGAAACATCAAGGAAATTCCATGAAGTTCCCCGTCAAGTTATTAGAAACTAGTGAGCGGAGGAAATTCAGTGAACAGCTTCACTATTTCGGAAATGCTTACTGTATTTTTACGTAACAATTTGTTAATATCGTCAAAGCTTACCACGTTGAGGAATAATAAACATGTTTTCATCATTTACTTTACCGATTACTTATTCGATTATTAACTTATCAACTTACTTGAAATGTTCAGAATATCGACCTTACTATTATTTATTTAAAAAAGTTGGTTGATAGTATAATGGTCACAACTGAAAGCGATGAAACTGATGGCGAAAGAAAGATAAACCAGAGGTTTCAGTGTTGTAATTTTGCAATTTCTTCAAATTATAAATTATGTCCGATTAAATAAATAGTACTCGAATTTAAACAAAAATAAGGGGGGATACTTTTAAACGCATCAATATATTTTTGAAAGCTACGATGACAATAAACCCACTTTCCCCCTCGATAATCTTTAATGTCCTAAGCATTCCCTTCTATACAGTAATATCAACTTTGCGTTTCCTTGCACGAAAGAAAAAGAGGAATCGGCGGTTGAGGGGGAAGTGATCGCAACACGCAAAGTACACGCGTCCCCGCTTCGGGCGCAGGCACGCGCCCCGTCCTACCGCCCCAGACCTCCCCCACCTAATTGAAGCCACTGTCCGCCTCAATCACGTTGAAAGGGAAACAAATAACCAAATCGAAAGCTACTGCCATCAATAGAGATATAACAGAGCATAGGAAATTCGCACGCTACGCTCTCATCAGCGACGCGCACAATTTGCGCAGTGCAGGAAACTTTTAAAAAAATACCGTAAATGATCAATCACCAGTTTTGAATTTTTGTTTCCTCTTTCATCTAACTTTTCTCAATTAATATAAATAACAGACAGCTATAAAATCACTACTGATGTAGATATAATTACATTAGGGTTTTCCGAAAGATTAAACTTCGGAATCGGTCGCCTTGGAACTACACATTTAAGGGCATGGTAAACAGTACCTTTTCATTTGACGGAGTGGATTTGGCCGGCTGCTGCCGCAAGGTGCCTAGTATTTTATCCAGGATTGCTTCTGTTCCATTCAATCGTCGCCCGCAAACTGTTTCAATTTTCGCCCTACAGAACGCGCAGCCGCACACACCGGCGACACATCCGGTCAGGCTTACCAACTTCCACAAGTAATGCCAACTTTCTCCTGACTACACCATTACTCTGACATATCGAACGCCAATATAAATAAGAACAAATTAATTTGTTTCCCGTCGCAACACTGCATGATACTGGAATGCTAGGGCGGTTTGGAAAATAATACACAGTAATACACATAACAGTTTAGGACACATTTTTTTAGTTCGCTGTAAGTACACTATGAAAAAGTTTTATCACAAAAGTATGCACATGAAATCTCAATAACATGACCAATAAAAAATAAGTCCAAAAATAATAACAATAACCAACTGTACTCAAAAATTAAAATAAGGATTTCTATTGCAGAATCCACTGCATGCTATTTCCTTATAGGTGAACCATGGAAACAAAATCGTAGTACAAATAACAAATTGTGTATTTTAAACAATACATAAAAAAACAGAATGCTATTCACCTAAAACTATATAGGTTGCAAAGAAAGATCACCCTTCCCGGAACATCACTTGAATAGAAACCATGCTTCACTAACTCAAGATTTCGCTCACGGAAATTTACAACAATAATGCCTTGCAATGAGAAGAGGAACCACTTAATCTTGGTTTTCTACAATGCAACAAGTTCAATTCCATTCTTCTGCAAACAATACTGAGACATCCAACACCCTTCCTCCTTCTGGACTCCTGGGCCTGGCTATTCCAAATGCCAGCCAGCAGCACCACAAATGCCACAAATGCATGTCCAAGGGGATGGAAGACATCTTGTACTAATGACAAATCGCAACAGCAATTTCCACAATTTAAGAATTTCAATGTTTCACAAGAGCACACTGAAACTATTCCATGGACAAGATAATCTCCAAAATGTGTTTCACAACTAAGAAACTGTAAAATACTAACTTCAACATACTTGTAACAGGAAAGATATTTTTTCAGTTTCATTCACACCTCAAAGCTCACATTTCACACTTCCTTCGTACACAAGAGAAACTTCCAAAAATAAATTATTATGAATTAACTGCACAATTTTTAAAACACACAAGAGGACAAAGAAAATCTCATACGCAAGTAAATCATACAAATCTTTCATGTGTGTCACTCGCTATCAAACACACCATTCAAGTGATATCAAAAACAGCTGCTCACAAAAAAGCACAAAATGACTAGTAATTTTTGTGTTATTTTCTTTGTCCTTTAAAAAATACATTTCACACGTGTATAAATAAGACAAATTTGTACATCTTGGAAAACCATACAAGAAAAAGTTACCATGCTCCCAAAACTCAAGACACACACCAGCCATCCTGTCACAGATATGTGAAAAATTCTGGCAAACACATGGCACATGGACAACTAACACCTCAGATGTAGACACTCCCAATCTCCCCTTGTGAGTGCTTTGCTAAAACAGAACTACTCTGCAGCCTGAAACTTATGTTCAGATAACATTAAAAGGATTTAACAAAGAATGAGATTGCTAGTAAATCAGTTTGTACCAAGAGAGAAATCAAGCTGCAGAGTAGTACTCAAGATTCTAGCACTTTAAAACACTGATTTCTAGAAATACTGTAGTTTTAAACTTAATATTCATTTTTATAGGTAGAGAACTTTGTTGTGACTCAATTTAAGTTTTGAGTCACTTCATATACTTAACTTTTAACAGTCAACACGGAATACCACATATCTACTACTAAAATGTTAGGCGGATTTATTGATTTGTGCAATTTTATCTGGAAACAAATTCATATTGTACACTCTTAATATCCATGAAAATAATTCCAAAAGTTAATTATAATAAAAAAATAATAAGAGGAACTGCCTGACATGATGATGAGACACAATTTCAAATATAGGAACACGTAGTAAGTCAGTAGTGGTGACATTTACTTCTTCTTGAAGAAATTGGCAATGTTTTTGGAGCCAGTAGCTGATTTGGCTCGAGCTTTGTCCTTGGCAGTGATACTGGGCTTAGAGGCCTGGAACAAAGTATATGATGTTCAACCACTCACTTTCAATAATTATTTTTCTAAACATACTTGCACACAAACACTGTAGTTAATATTAATATTCAGGGTGCCCACTTATTTCCTTCAACAAATTTCACTGACGATTCCTCCTTCTTCGTTTTTCAGTTAATTAAGAAAAAAATCCTGAAAAAATTGGTAATTTCATACTAAAAAAAATAAGGGCACTACGATATTCATTGCTTCCTGCTTTTGGCAGGAAAAACTACAAATTTACAAAATTTTCACAAACAAATAAAGACTGAGCAAAAAAAAATGCTGTATTTCTGATTTTAAGAAATAAAACGAGCCTTCTCAGAATTTTCACTGACTTTTCCAGAGCAATGAAATTTTGTCATTTTCTGCCGGTTTTCAATGTTTACCAGAAAGTAGCCATCTTGATATTGTGAACATAGTAGTGGGTAAATTTTTACCGATACTTTATAGTATCGGCAGGATCTTGTGAGCCGGTTTTCCCAACTAATGCTCCCTTCCAATTCTTCATTCATTTCCAAGAAAATGAATTATATTTTACACAATAATTAAAAACTGTAATGAAATTCATGAATGTAAATCATTGCTCCTTACTATTGAAAATGGCAATACTATTTTAAAGTATCTGTACATAATGAATTCAGAATACAGAATTCTCAAAAAATGATTCAATCAGTCACTCCCCAAATTTAAGACTAATTTCAAAGTTCAATTTCTTTTCTTAAAAATAACACAGGTCAACAATGAAAAATCATCAAAAATAAAACCATGTGTGAATTACTATGTATCACATCCTGATACCAAACATGTACTTACAATTTCTCTAGCATGTATCATTCTTATGATAAGATGGTTTTAATATTGGGAATGAGTGAATTACCCCCCAAAATAAGGACATCCCTAATCAACAATTAAAAATCATCAGAAAAGAAAATACACAGTCTTTACTAAGTGTCAAGCCTTGATTTCAAATATGTGCTTAGATTTCCTCTAACACAAATAGTTTCTGAGATATCACGATTTTCATATGGTAACTGTGCGAATCCCCAATGGCAAAGTCGGAAACTGCTTCAGGAATTCAGGAACTGCTGTTACTGGGGATGAAATTAACTATTGTTTTGATTAGCGTATTCCACTACAGATAATAAAGAGAAAGAAACATAAGTTTCATATGAGAACGGTTCTCATTGTTCATTTGGTTGATCGCAACATGACATTTCTCTTGTTTGGTGATGATGTTGGATAGGGTAAACTGTGGAGCATTATCTCCATGAAAAATTTCCAAAAATCAGCCCAGCAAAAATGACAGAAGGAATCTTCCCAAATCCAAGAAATTTTAAAAGATAATATATTCACACAAACAATGACTCCAGAAGAACAAGATGCCTGAACTAGTTTTCAGTGTGTGTGTGTGATCATTTCCAAGTGAAAAATAAATCTTCAGATTTTGTTAATGAAATCAAGACTTTAGTGTACATTTCAAAAACTGGACTGAAGAATGTCACCTAAGTTACACTTTCTACACTCCCATTTACAGTTTTTCCCCGATAACCTCGGTGACATGAAAGATGAACAACGTGAGTGTTTCCACCAAGACATCAGAATCAAGGAGCAACATTACCAAGGTTTCTGGAATAATTCCATATTCCATGATGGCAAATTTTCGAGAAGAGTTTTTATACAGAGGAGATCCTGAAGCAGTTCACAAGAGATGTGGGAATTCATCACATTTCTGAGTAAGCTTTAATAACACCATATGTAATGAAATGGAATACGGCCAATTTTTAGGTAATTATTGGATTTGCTATTGTAGAAAAAAATTGTGGGCGACAGCACAAATCTGAATGCAAAATCGTAATCTGTGTAAAAAACTGATTTCGAAAAAAATCTTACATATGTGATGATTACACAAGTTTGATTTTGTAGACCTGTGTAATTTATACAACATTGCATTATCAATAATCCAATTGCATTTAACATTTCCATACAAGTCATTGAGTCTTAAGAATTCAGTAACTGATTAAATAAAAAAAAAATATTTTTCATTATAGAATTTATTAGGGTGGAAGTAAATCAATTTAATCCTATACAATTTACATATCCTACCTCACAAAGAGATTTGTTCCTTTTTCATCAACATTTTCTCTTCACATCACAAGAAATTGGAAATTCAAAAACAAGTGAACAAAACCTTCCCTCTTAATGTAATAACAATCACAAATCCCAAATTCAATTTCTCTATCACGAAGGCAAGTTTATTTCTTCTCAGACCCGCTTTATTGAATTAGAAAATAAAATATAAATTAATAATTTTGAAAAAAACTCAAATTTTGTTTTTCATCCCCTTTTATATTCACAAAAAAAACTTAAGATCACTCATTTATAGAAAGTGGCTCAACTGCTATTTTTTATGAATATAATAGACAGAATTCTAAATATGATATGCACATTTGAATAAGATATACTTGGTTTTATATATACTAACTCATCCTTCACCTTCTTCAAATTTATTTTATAGAAGATTAATTTATCGCAATAACTTCTACAACTTAACATTAAACTTCCACCTTTTTCTTTCTTTATATAATTTAGTATTTAGTATCTTGATCTGAATATTTTTATAAATCTGTTTGCCTCAATATGAAACAACTGCAAAAACCTCTAATTAAATGGACATTGTGCAACATCTTGATTCGAATTGACAGATTATTCATTTAATTATCATATCTAATCCAAACTTTCGAAACTTCCATTCAACCAACAATTACCAAAGGAAATGTTTTTTAACAACTTCGTTTGGTAATCTGTTCAATGGTACAATAGCGACTTCAAGAGTCATCATTATGTGTGGTTGTTAAATTAATAATTTGTCAACCAACAATTACTCAAAAACAATTCACACCCACCTTCTCTGGCTTAGTGAGATCCAGCACTCCTGCATGGCTGGGTTCCTCGGTGCGAGGCTTTTTTAGCTCAGGACTCTCAGGAGTAGACTGGGTTGTTGGAGGGACATTGCTATTGCCATCAGCCACCTGTGTTTCAGCTAACTTGCGTTTACTGTGGCTTTCTGGTCTCTCTTCAGGTAGTCCCATGTGCTGCAGCAGTAGTTGGCTTAAGTCTTCTGCCAGGTATTCTGACAGGATTCCATGAGCATACTTCAGGTACGCCTCTGTCAAATACATACACCATGATTAAATCACAATCATTTTAAGTAATTACCTTTAAATTCAAAATCTTTTTAGGACTTAAAATTTAGTAAGTACAAACGATATTGAATTATAGTTGAAATAAAATAGAATATTTGATACAAGTAAAAGAAAACTATAGACATGTTTGTTTGACAAGTAGTAGAGTTGTTGTAGACAAGTTTGAAAAAAATGGTAGACATGTAAATTATTAAATATATTTAATTTGCAAAGAAATTCAAATATACATTCACCCTACCTGCATAAAAACCTCATACTGAAAAAAAAAAACAATGGTAAATTTTCAATAATAGGCCTTGTCTGAACAATTTTAAATTTCCCAAAAGGTACAGTTGAACCTGTATATTAATATTTTTAATTTCTATTTAAATAAAAACCTATGTCATTGAACAATTTATTCAATAATTAATGAATTTTATACCAGAAATTACTTTTATATTCGAGAAATTTCTTTTAAATGCAAAAATTGAACATTCAGAAAATAGCTTGGAGCTATCATTTCGAAATTTCATTGCTTCATTCTAAAGAAAACCAAACATAAAAGAAAAAAACTGAATATTTAGTGCTTTCAAAATCTTAATAACATAACAGAAAAGACTGAACTGCATTCATTCTTACCTTGGTCAGGATTTTCCTGCTTGGAACTCTTAATAAATGTGTTGGACACTGCTCCAGATCCTACATGAATACCTTTCTGTTTCAAGACTTCTGCAACTCGTTCTGCTTTCCTGTGAAGCCAGTTTAACGCCTTTTCCTCGTTGTACTTAAATGCATTTAATTCTTCGTCTCCTGTTCATAAAGAAATTCATGATTTTTCTGCATAAACAAAACAAAAACATACCACAAATTATCTGTGATATACCTTTCCTATCAGCTATTTGAGTAATCTGTTTCAGGCCTGATACCCGAAGCAATCTTTCAGTCTCTGGAAACTCGTCATCTTTTAATAACTGATCCAAAGGCATAATGTGTGTTGCCTGGAACATTAAATGTAAATTAAAGGATATAAAAATTTAATAAAAATATAATTTTATGCCCATACAAATAACAAAACAAAGCACCTTTCTCAGATATGGGAGAATTAAAATAATGGGGTCAATTGGCGTTGATAAATGCATTTTTCCGTCAGATTTTACAGTATCTTCAATGAACCATGACCTAAACATTAAAAAATAATTAATAAATATTGTGATATTACAATATAATAGGTTTCATTTAAAACTTAACTAACCTCCTATTTTCTGAGAATGTGAGTACTTCTTGCACCATTCCATCGCCGGGACTGAATAAAAACATCGCTGGATTGCCCGACTGGGGATGTCGAAGTTGAACAATATCAGGTGTTCCCTCGGGCACATCCAAGGCATCGCCTGATCACATGAAATAACGTAAAAATAATTATGTTGTACTTTCCACATACATAGTGATTCAAAGAGGTGCCGTTCCGGATGACTAACAACACAAGGGAACCACAATAGCACCAGCGTGCATTTTCAAACAAAGACTTCATATTACGCGCTGATTTTTTTGCAAAATTAATAATAGCAATTCGTGCTTCGAAATGGCATATTATCGAATCCACAATTGCATACAATTTACACAATGCAAACGTAATGTTTATTTCGCGGCAATATAAACAACTTTCACAGACCATCTTTGACACTGACAATGAATCTTGCATGGTAGCTTAAAAAGACGCTTCATAAGCTTCAAGGTATACCACTTTTTTAACTTACCTTTTAGTAAAAATACCCACGTATTTGATGCCGTCTGTGAATTCGATGTCTTCACACATTTCTTAGGCGATGCTTTAATTCTCGGCATTATGAATTTTGCAAAATATTAGTGTTGATTTCATATAAATAACTCAGCCCAGAGCCATCACCCCGGGCCTCAAAAAGAGCTCTCGCCCGGGTCCAATTGTGCCAACTTCGCTCAATCCCCACCTTACGGAATATCGATGTTTTCTTTGCAATTTTTACTTCATTCCGGCTCAATTTTTATGATTCGGTAACTTTCGTGCTCAAGAAAAACAAATACATAAAATTAATCACAAATAACAAGGCAAAACCGTAGTTAATTCCATCAATACATATAGTAGAGACGCTCACTTTAGTGACATAGCAGTTAGCAAACTGCGTATTTGAAGCCGCACGGCAACAAAAACATCAAATCACTGCAGCGCTTCATTATCATATTCCCAATTCTTTCTAAAAATCAATTGCAAACGGCATAAAGATCTGAAACCTTGCACCGCAGTACTATTGAATCGGCAATGCGCAACTCTGTGGATAACCCGAGCTTTCGCAGGAATAGGAGATCCTCATTTGTAGTTATGACAAATATAATATTTCGACATTTAATGAGATGCCATTGTTTTACACCTGCCACTATTTAAACGAATCATGGGATTATTAGGGTCACATGGAAAGACAAATCGATTAGACTGAACAAAAAACATCCAGAACATTGTATTTACATACCATTAATATTTCATCTTACATTGATTCTTACAAAGCTATAATGATGTCAAAATACAAGTTTAAATATATATCAACTCATGTGTACTGCCAATCCATTGAATGACCACACACAAACTACTGAAAATTAATATTTGAATTGGCAGAGGAATCAGAACACGATGCTATTAAATTGTTTTGATTGGTGTGTGATACTACAGGTGAGAAAGTCATAGCAGTAAAATGATTAGCTGCAAGAATGGAAGTCACTGCAATTGAACTGGATGTATGAGGTGTAGCGTCCTTTTCTGCCACAATTCCAATTACATTGGTTGACACCTGTAGTGTTTCTGAGTTTCCTTTCTTATATTTTTGTATTTCCTTTTGTGATCCTTGGCAATGTAGTTTCATGTGCTTTGCACAATTGGCATAGTTGTTGAATGTCCATCCACAGACACTGCATTTATATGGGCGCTCTCCAGTGTGAGTGCGTCTATGAACCTTACAAATACAACAATGGACAGAATTATCAACAAAATGTAATTCACTATGAGAAAAAAAGAAAGAATACATGCCTCTTCCTATTATACACTTTCATCAAATTCAAGAGTTATAAAAATAAGGTAAAACTTGAAATTTCACAATAAACTTCAAGCTACTACAATTTGCTTTGTGCCAATTCTCATTAAAAATGTAATAAGACATTCCTCATAACATTTTACATATTTATAAAATTAAACTTATGATAAATTTTAGTTCATTTTTGATAAAATTATAATGTAATTAAAGCTTGTCAAAATAAACAAAATCTTCAAAATGGAGTCTAATTGATACATCCTCCAATTGTGTTACCATTTTCATTACTAAGAGCTAGTTTCATGAAAATACAGACATGAATTTCTGAAGAAAGTATTAATCTTTTTTTTCATTAGTCAACACCTTTCTTTAACAAATTAAATAATCGTTGACATGAGTGCAATGTTAGATGACCTATTCACAACTTTCAAGGGTTCCTCAGAAAGAAACTTTGATAAAAATTTCACTCAATGCAAAAACAAGAGCATATCAGTTTCAGAGGAAATAAATTTCCCAAAATTTAAGTTACCTTTCAAATTTATCCTCTGCAAAATACAGTTTAAATTTGTTCACTCTTTAAGAGGAGCCAAAAAAACTCACCACTAATACTCCCCTAAAACGAAAACACTGGCCACAAAATTCGCACTTAAAGGGTTTTTCTCCCGTATGAATTCGAGAGTGTGTGGCAAGTGTGGTCCGAAGGCGGAACTGTCTTCCACACACATCACACTGGAACCTTTGATTATTAGAGTGCAAACGAAGATGTGTCTGTAGTTGCTGTTGTGTCTTGAACCTGCCAAAAGGAATTGTTTCAATAGTAAACTTCATTTAAAATATCCATTCAAGAAATACATTATGTAATACCCCAAATAAAATTCATACCAATACAACAAAACTGTCCAACACTCACAATATTAACAAACTGAATAACTAGTCACAATTAACCATCATTTCTAAATTAAAAGATTTCTTTCATAACATAATTTGACACATACCCAACAAAGAACAATCACAAATAAAAACAAGAGTGCCTCTGCATTGTACTAATTACACAGATTTACCGATGAGGAATAATTATTGCTAACATGTTATGCATTAGTAAAGATAACTAAAAGGTGTTCAAACACTTCACTAAGATTTTCTCTCTAATTCAACATTTAACATTATAATAAATATTATATATAAGTTTCTGGTTTCAAATTACTTATGTAATAATTTAGTATTTTATTACTTACATTTTGCAACACTTTTGGCATGAAACAGTCTGCCCTTCAGCATGAGTCAATGCATGGCGTAGCAGTGTTTGTTTTCGTGTAAAACCTCTCCCACAAATTTCACACATGAAGTTCCAGCTCCCTTTATGAGATAACAAGTGATGTTGTAAGGTCTGTTGAGAGCTCATCCTGGAGTATAAAAAATAAAGTCAATGGGTAAATTTCTATTTTATACCCTAGCAGAATTTAAGAATTCTTGACTTTCATTTCATTAAAAACACTTCATTACATCAATTTGCATCAGTGTATTCCAAATATTTGAAAACTAAAATGAAGTTTTTGACTAGAGGTGACTATACAAGCACAATATATTTTTAATTCTATAACAAACCACTTGTCTATGCAGTAAATAACTCTGATTTCCAAGATGGAGGCTCAAAAATAAAGGATTGTGGGTCATCATTATTTATACCTGAAGTCTTCAATTATAACTTGAGAAAAGAAGGCTCACAAGGGAAAAAAGAAATATAATACTACTTCCCTCAAAGGACTACCTATGAAATTATTATTACTCAAAAATGTTATTTTCAATGTATAAAATTTCAATGAAATTGCACTATGCAACAATTGAAAGATTTTGACACTATATGCTAGATATATAAACACCTACATCTTCTTGCATTCAGGGCATGCAAATGTACCATGGCCAGGTGCATGAGTATTTTGATGGGAGTACAACGTTGAGGCTTGTCTAAAAGAATGACCACATTCACTACATATGAAAGGTCGTGTATTTGAATGCAAAATTTTATGAGTATCCAGAGCTTGCCTTGTAGAAAATCCTCTCATGCATTCCTCGCATCTGTATCAGAAAAGAGAAATAGAATGAGAGGTAATTTCACTCCCAAAAAGTAGCCACGAAAAGAAAGAAAGAAAGAAAAAAGAAAAAAAAGCACAAAAAGTAAGAACAACCTACTGAGTGGAAGTAACATCAAAATACACAACAATAACTCCTTAATATTAACCAGTTGCAAATTCTGAAGAGGATTGGGCTAATACAGGTTATATTATTTTTTCAGATATTAAATGAATGTATCATAACTATAATTTAGACTAATATTTAATCTAAATTGTAAGAATTTGAAATAAAATTTGACAACTATAAACTACTTGTAAAATCATTTCAATCTTGTTGTATACACATTCATAAACTAAAGACAAGTTAACAAAGGCAAATAAAAAATACTTCATAACTATTTTTCCAAAAATTCATATTTTTTAATACATTAGAACCCTCATTAACAATGTGGGCAGTCCCAAATTTGAATGCATATGAATATATTTCTACATGCAAGAGATCTTTCTATGCAAGTTTCCCACTTACAGTAGACAGAATATTGGCCTCCTCAGGATTTGGCCTCAGGATTTTTTTTTTAAATTCTCAATCACCTTAGGAACAATTTAAGGAATTTATGTCTGTGGAGCAAACTCTCTCCAAAATAACCCGCCTTATCTGTTGAAAGTGAAAATCTACTTTTTTCCGTCTGTTGTTTTCTGGGGAGCACCAAGGCATAAGGGAGCACAAGATGTAAGGTACATGTTTTAATTCATTATGTAATTTGTATCGAGCTTTTGACTAGTGTGATGAATTAGGAGTTGTTAGTTTGTAATTTTTTTGAAAATTCCAACTGAGATGACTCCAAAAAGGATGTTAGTGTCAACAATGGCAGTCAAGAAAAGTAAAATTTTAAAATATCCTTATGTGAAGGTTATGAAATTACATTAGCGTTTCGCACTTCAAACATTTTTGTCTTCAAGAGTAAAAACTAAGACTCAAAATAGCTCATATAACAGAATTCTATTGTAATATTTATAGAGAGAATGGGTCTGCACTGAAATGTTATTTTCCTAAAAATCTTTTATTCAACTGATATTGACGACAACAAATTTTGAGAGCTCTTTTACTACTTTAATGATAAAGATAACTTTACAAATCAAAAGTTGAGTCAAATGGTCAAAATCTCAAATGCAAAAGTTGAAATTAGAAAGAAATTTCAGCAAATGCTTGTTAGCTTTCCGACACTACAAATGATCTGACAGTCTACTGAGAGTCATCTGGATAACATTCGACCAATGCAAAATAATGTATATACAAGAAAATGAAGAGAAATTACATCATACAGAGGGATTAAACATTGCATACAATATTAAAAATATGTAAATTATACAGCAATTTTTACAGAAAGTTCACCAATAATATTACTGGAATAACACACAGAGAGAAAAAACACTGCTCTTATAAATTGTACTACATGAACATTTATAAGAGCAGTCGATCTTAAGTCTCTTGGCCCACTGACAATGAAACGGTGAGCAATATGAGGGGCAATTTTTCTCCTTCTTCAGTGTAAGTAAAATTTTCTTTTAAACACTTTACCTCCACGATTAACCAGGAGATGTAGGTACCCTTATTCAATGCATCTTTTCTTTGGTTTTCCTGGATCCCGCTTACCTAAGAGTCTCAAATCTCTAGGCATTTTAATCAGCCTACCATTATCTGCCCTGGAAACATGTTCATCCCAGCGTTCTTGTTCCAATGAATTTAACTACCACCACACCACACTCATTCCTTGAATCTTTACTATTTATTCGATTCTATCTCGTTTTTCCTTTTATTGCTCTTGAAGTACTCATCTAAGAAGTTCTAAGAAGAATTATAGTTTTTCTAGTATCGACCGATGTCTCCTCCCCGTAAGTTTTTGATTGGCAATACCAGGCCCATTAACAGCATAGGACCACCGTCGATACTTGAACCCAGGAGCTCCCGGTCAGAGGCAATGCAGCGACATCAGTTGATGCCCTGAGCCATCTCTCCTGGAGCTCCATAAGTCATGACTAGTATTGCTCTATAAGACTGACTTACTATGGTTCTATATGTTTTTACTTTACTGTCTAAAATAAGAAGCATATGTCTCCAGGTTGGGTGTTTTACATATCCCAATATTTGAGCTCCTTTAATTACTTGTGTCATTAATAAGTGTCTCTTGCGTTTGAAATTTCTACTCCTAGATATGTAGTTTTCATGGCTTGTTGGATTATTTCATTTTCCATCATAAATTTACACCTTACTGGATTCTTTGAAATTACCACTGATTTTGTTTTCTCAGTGGATATAGTCATGTGGTATTGTTCTGCTGTTTCGGATAGCCTGGGGCGAGCTCTTTGAAAATTAGTGTTCCGAATCTGTCAACAGACCTGCATCATCTGCACAGCACACTATTGAAATTATTTTACTTCCCTTTTCATAATCTGGCATTTCTTTTAGGCAATTATCTTATCCATAACCACATTAAAATACACTGGTCTGATACAATCCCCTTGTCTAACACCAGCTGCACAAATGTTTTTGTCTATTTCCATATTTCATGCCTGCACTTTTGAGACAATATTTGTCTTCATGACTTCAATTCCTTTATGAACATTTTTACAATATTCTTCACCTAAGAATACTTAATCGCGATCCAACCCCTTCATTATCTCAATAAAGCATATTGAAGGCTGGGACATTAAATTCAGTCACCTTTTCGACTATTTGGCAGATGGCAGATCACACATCTGTTGATTGATTAGGCCAAAATCCTTATTTCTTCATTTACCTGCAGAAATGATTGTATTTTTTCCAATAATATGGAAATATGATAATAATATTAAAATCTTTGAAAAAAATCTCTGACTTGTATTTAAAAATGTAATACTTCCAGGGTTACTAAAAATCATGACTTTTTTTAATTAAACAAAAATTCGGATTTTTTATTTCAATCAGATCTAAATTTAAATATTTAAATCTGATAAAAATTTTAGATATTTGAAAAAAAGAGACCAGAAATTGAAGGGTAGTAGAACAAGGGACTATAATGCATTGTTCTAGTTCTGAGATATTAGTAGTTTTACTAGAACTTCCATAAAATAACTCGGAAATTGTGGATCAGTAAAATATTTATGGAATACTTTTTAAATATATTAAGACAACTTTCTGCAAATAATGAGAAAAACTTGTCAAATTAAAAATCACCTCGGTACAAACAAAGCAGCCAAATTAGTGTTCCTTCGAAAACAATTAAATACTTTACAAAAGCTATTATAGTGCATTGTAAATTAATAAATAAATACATTAAATGTTATAATTTGTAATTCTTTCTTTATTGCCTTAAATTTTTTAAACATTCTTCATACAATTTACAATAAATTATATCTTTGACTTAAATTGACAATTTTTTGTGTTAACTATTTGATTTAAATCACTTGATCTAAATCATCGAAATCCTGAATAGCCTATAGTTATTTGCGTAATTCTCTGCTCCCTTTTTCAAGATCGGAATGGCAGTGCTGGTTTGCTATTCTGATGGTATTCTGCCTCTTGACAATGGTATTAAATAATATAGTTGGCTGATCTTCTAACTTGTTGCCACCATATTTGAATAATTCATTCCTAATTCAATCACTACTTGGTACTTTTCTGTTTTTCAGTATTAACTGTCTTTTGCACATCCTCTTTCATGATTTTAATTCCTCTTAATTAGATCTTTCATTTAGGATTCTGGGTTATTTTCAATATCTTTATGTAAGTTTGCTAATTCTTCCACATCAATAACATCAATCTTTACACATCAGTGAATTTTGCTTTCTTGTTTCTTGGCATTCGCGATTTATTTTTGATGATGTGCCCGTTTATGAATTTCGCAGGTGATTGAGGGAAGAACTTAATGCTCCACCTTAAATGTCAATTTTCTAAAATAAATGTATTTAAAATAGAGCAAACTCTTCAGGATACACTTACCTGAATTTTCCTTCATTACGATGCAACCTCACATGCCGTGAAAACTTTCTATAATCACTGTATATCTTGTAACAATGAAGGCATTGGAATTTTGTTGGTTGTTGATGAACGGTTTGATGATGTTGCTAATCATAACAAAAAAAGAAGTAATTAAAAAATTAACAGTATTAATTAATATTTCATACATTTCCATTCCATATACCACATTCCATTATTCTGTACTGCAAATATGACAGAAACTGTACAGATCACAACTAACTAGTGTCAAAAAATAAACAAACAAAAAACAACAAAAAATCAAAACACAGAAATAAAACTATTGTCAAAGATGATGCTCCTCTTCTTCTTGTATTCAAAGTTTACACATGATGCTCTGCTTCCACTTTGCATCTCAATACCATCTCTCTCTGGATCTTTTAACATTCTCTCTTCCCTTCGGTCAGCATGTCATAGTAGTATTCTTTCAATAAAGTGTCTCTGTACTCCTCTAAATTTCATTTACATTACATACATCGAGTTCTTTTTAGAAATGCAGTTTCTGATGTTACCTTATTTCTTGCAAACTGTAATTTTCCTGAGAAATCTCATTTCCACTGCTGGAATTTTCATGTTATGTCTCTTCTTTTGTAACCCATGATTCATTTCCACAAAAATTGGAGCAGCCATTGACATAAAATTTCATTTCTGTCCAACTTTGTTTTATTTTGTAGTATTCTATTGATTATTGAGGAGTGGAAGAAACAAACTCAAAGAACAGGACCTGAATGTTCTAATAAAGATCTTCAACATGGCAAAATTATCCTTGAAAGGGGAGATAGTGAAAGAAATTCTCCAAGGGACATGGTCCAATATACCACTCAAATGGTTTGGAAGGAGGGTATCTCCCACCAGCGGGGCACTGCCCCAGCCGGAACAAGCTCTAAGCTCCCCACCGGTCTCCCGGTAAATGTGGTAGTATAATACATGGAAGTGGAATGAAAGATCGCATGTGTTCGTGGCTTGTTTGTTAGGGTACTGCTCCAGCAGTCACCTCGTGTGTATCTGAGAAACCTCACAAAACTACCTATAAGAGCAGACAGCCTCCAGAAAGTGACTGAATTCGACCTAGCTGACAAGCTAGTGTCAAAAATCATGCCACTGTCGGGACTCAAACCTAGGACCTCATGGTACAAGACACTGCAGTGACATAAGTTGATGCACTGAGCCACCTTGGTAACTACAACAGCAATAGATGGTAACTAGGCCACTCTTCTTCACAAAACATATTGCAGTTCAGCCACTGTCGCTCATGAGGATTTATTTCACTGCCTAATTTGAAATGAAGGATATTCAACAGTAGCTGGTACCAAGGATTAGGGCTCCATAACCTGCTCCTTTCAGCCTAGTATTTCCTCAGTCACTACAGCATTCCTCATCTCGCCTTCGGTTTAGACTTCTGTCATATCTCCATTGTAAGGGTCAGTATTTCGGTTATTTATTTCTGTCCATTTTCATAAACAGGGTTGCACCATTTACATGACAATCTTCTATTTCAATTATTTTCTTGGTTATCAGCCCCTCTTAAAATGTTTCACTTCTGTCTCTACTTGTGACACAACAGTCCTTAGGGGCTTCATTTGTGCCTCTTTCACTCGGTGTCTCTCTGTTTTAGTGATCAAGCCATGCCATAACGTATTTTTAGTTTAGCCATTATGTCATTTAAAGCATAGGTCTCAGTGGCCGGAGTTAATAAGCACATGGCCGTCTGGGAGATACTGCATCCTTGGCATAGTTGTCAAGGAGTGACACTCTATTCTAGGGGCAACACTATGAAGGGCGCAGTGCGGCCTGGACAACCAAGTATCTACAGTGATGTGTAGTTTAATTTTTGTTCTAGTATTCATATATGCTTTTGATACTGCAATTGATTTTGTTATACCTGTACAGTTAATTTAAATTTTTATTTTCAAAAGCTAGTCTGTTACCTAAAAAGTGAAGTTTGCGTAGCCTATTCTATAATTTCATTGTTCCTCTAGTAGTCCCATAGAGTTTGTTTTTGTTCATGATATTTTCTTTTTGATTCTTCTAAGGTCTTAAGTTCATCTTGTATTCTTGCCAAAATCACCAATGTCCAGCTCTTCATCATGTGATTTAATTCTGCTGCGGTCCTCTGTTCCTTGTCATAGCTTGTGTTTGCATTCAAGCTTTGAATGTATATTATTATATAAACAATTCAATGCTCTTATCACAAACATATCTATATTCCCATCTCAGATTCTATTTTCAGTATGCACCTTGCTCTTAGATTCACATCTTCCTTTGCATTCTTGGGAGAAGATGCATTGATTGCAGTGTATGTAAAAAAATGTATTACCTCCTCCTCTGATTAGAAATCTTACTCCATTAGAAATATGGTCCCGAAGAAAACCTAATGTCTCACGTTTTAGAATCTTCGTGTGCACTGCACATTATGCCAATAACAATCCTCGATGTCACTATCTATTTTTCTGATCATACTGCCGAACTTTCTCATAGCACTTAAAGATGACTTCATTGTCAGGTTTCGCACACAAATTCCGATAATTGAAAGGTGTGTTTCAGTACTAATAATAGTACAAACTTCAGTACACCAAAAAATGAAGAATGTTTAAATGCCAGGACTTGCAAACAAAATCAAGAAATAATTTAAAACAATAATTAAGAAAGGGAGTTTCCATTTGTCTTTTTTTGGGAAAGGAAAAACAAAATCTCAAAAATAAAACTAAATACTGAAAATAAATTTGCTCTCCTGCAGCAGTTTTTCAAAATTTCTGGATCATGCTAAATTTACCGCAATCAATTACCCCAAGGTGTGGTTGCAGAAAAAATTACACCATCAAGTTACTAGAGAGAGTATAAGTTTTTCTACTCACTTTCAATGCCTGAAGATTTGCCAACACCATAGAGCAGTCAGTACAATGCCATGAATACGAAGATGCCAAATATATTCGCTTTCCAGGGCTTCTTTCTGCAGATCTATTAGAACAGCTTTTCAATAATACTACTCCAAAACTTGTCTCATTACCCAGATCAGAAGACTTATTTTTCTTCCTCGCACAATTAGTTGATTTCAATGGTTTACCAGCTTTAACATTAGAAATTAAAATTAAAATTAAGGAAATAGAAAATTTGCAGACAGCAGGGTAATACTAAAATATACTTACAAGACCTTCGTTGAATAGAAGACGAACATTCATCTGCCTAAAAAAAATATAAATGCCATCATTGTCTTCAAAAATACCTTTTTATGATGAGAAAAAGGTCTACCACATTAACATAGATTAGGTTTAACATAATTTAAAAAATTTGCAATACTTCATAATTAGTGAATGGCTTAGAATATCTATTAAGTATATTATAATACAATAGTAACTGTCACAAAACAAAAAAATTGGGAACTATTTCAAAACCCACATAATCGATCTTGGATAATTTTTGTGGAAGTGGAAAAACTTCTCTTGGTCTTATTGAGCAAAAACCACTTCGATGATGATTGTTCTTGCTGTTGTTATAAAATTCAATATTTACAAATGAATATGCTGACAAATTGAAAATCATTGCACCTCATTTTCAAAATCAACCAATGAATTAGTATACTGAAAGTTAGTGAGGATTAAGATGGATTTTGTGAAAGTACTGGTATATGATGCATCTATTTTTATTAGGTATTTGTGTGCACATTCTACACTATTATAAATCTTATATTCAATCCTTAAAAATATTTACATACTAGTTATTACATTTTACTACAAACTATAATGAATATTGATAACTAATGAGGAAAAAGTGCACAAATATGTTGGTCAGTATAATCTTAATAACTACACAAAATAGTACTGGTAACTCTCTACACTACTTCTTTGGTAGCAGAGCATTCTTTCTCAGAGACTGCTCCAATCTAATAGCACGAGAGGATAAGGCATGCCGTGGAAATGGTCACTGAATTTGCAATACATTTACATGGGAGATAAAGTAGATTTGGAAACAGTTTTCTGGTTATGCTAAATGCTAAGTAAGATGGGTAACACAAATGTGCCATAAACTATTATTCATTCAAAATGCAGAAGTCGGGTTTTGGAACTATGATGTTAATTTATCTTACATTTCAAGTTAAAGTGTAAAGAAGTGCAGTGCAGTCAGGGTTGGCTCATTTTCCGTAATATAAAAAATCACAACATTTTAAAAAATAGTGTTAAAACTCTTGACAACTTGAAAACATTAATATGATTTAATAATTTTTAAAATTATTTCAAATAAAATAAAACTTATCATTTTAGTCTCAAAACACTAAAAACTTATATTTAATCACAAAAAATACATACATACAAGTATGAAAAACAATTAGAAATTAAGTAAACATAATAAAATGCAAATACAAAACAACTTCACCTACTGGCAATTCCACTTTGATAACAAAAACACACACCAATGCAAAGTCAACACAAGAAAACAAACTTTCAAATGTGTGTCATGCATTTGTTACTTTATTATCCAAACATTAATACCATTAACAAACATTTATTCCACCTGTAATGATTATAAGAGCTTGAAATTTTACAATAGATGATGGGGGTATTAATCCTTGGACACACTGTACATTCACTTGCCAGTTCTCAGACTGTTTGAAAAATGAAAATCACAATTTTATAATAACTAAATTTAAAAAATAACATTTCCTAATAAAACAAAAACTCAAATACACCCAAAAATACCAACTGGTTAAATTTTTTAACCCTAAGGTTTTTCGACCCTGAGTGCAGTGTAGTGCATGCTTGAGTTAAGTACAATGTAAAGAAATGAGATGAACGAAGTGAAATGTAGAGTAGAATATATAGTAATACTGATCTGTTGTTCACAACCTTTAAAAGTATTTTAATTTTTTTTTTATTGCTTACTATTGTTACATAGTTTTATGTTGTTTATAGTTTGAAAATAGTCACCTGTTACACTAACAGAATAAAAATACATTAAAATCTAAAAAATAAAAATACTACAACCTCATGCAAGGACTGAAGAACAAATTGAGCAGTTTTCGCTTGTTTGTAAAAATCAAAGCTGTCCAAAAGCTTCTTGCAGCAATCACTGCAAACTACTGTTGACAGATCATCCTTTGACACCTGAAACATGGCAAAGAAGTGAGAGTTGTTATTTTATTTAACTAATCATTGATAGAATATTGTACTCAGAAGTTTAGCTCACCTCAATATGTAAACATTGATGAATTTTAATTAATAAATCCATATTTTGTCCCTGTACATCAAATATGTGAATGAATACATCTTTTAATTTGGCACATAATCTGCATATCCTTTTGAAACTCATCATAAAGGTCTCTTTATTTTCTCTTCATTCATCAAATGATAGTATTAGTTAAATCAACTTCTTTGCAGCCAATCATTCAATTTTGGAAGATAGCCAAAAGTTGTTCTAAAGGCAGCCATTTTAAGACACAGAAGTTACACAAATAGTGACAAGAATACTGTATGACAATCTTTTGACTAGTTGTGGATAAGGTATGTACAGAATGTATTCTATAAAAGCTTGCTGTGATCTAGAAAAGCATGTGTTCCTATTTGAAAAGAGGAATCATAATTGTAGGCCTCTTAAAACCAATCTACTCAACGAAAATAAGATAACTCAAAAACCATGACAACCCGAGACTAATATTTATCAATAAAAAGTTCTCCTTCTACATAGGCACTTCTAAACATATTGTTGGGATCTAGAACTGTTCTATTACGAGCCCACTGCCTGTATCCAGGATACATCTGAGCAATCAAAGGTGAAGCAAAGACAGGTCCTACTGACCAACATTTCCTCCCTCCATTCGTTTGCAGAATTGCTTCAAACTCAGCCATACCCACAGAAAAGGTTTTTGAGATGCACTTGTTAGTGAACCAATCTGTCCACAAAGTGCAAGTTTTCTTCTCAGTGTATGGACAAAGGTACGGTTGATGCACTTCAGAAGACTGATGAGACTGTAGAGATATAATGATAGGTGTTGAACACAACTGAGGATTTCCTTCAGACCACTCTTCAATTTCTTTCATTGCATTACGTAGACTATCAACTGGAAGGGCCCACTTTATGCCACGACAATATGCACTTACTGAAACAATAATCTGCGGTCGAAAACAAAAGTGATTGCGATAAGAGTGAGTTTTTAACATGAGGTCACTCTGAGTTTTCGAAAGAAAAGGAGCAAATGATGGAAAGTACCAAGACAGCAATGGACTCAGGCGATACACAATCCAATGAATTTGTCTGAAAAATCTCTCTTGCCACTCAACCCACCAAGGTTGGTGATAACTTTGATGAATTCTTACAGAATAATTTTTGGTAACAATAGCCTTATTGAGAAGGGGATACCATGTCAAATTTGTATATAATCCTTCAAATACTTTGTGCAAGTTTTCAAAAATGTCATGGATTGAACATTCATAAGTTACTTCTTGGGCAAAATGCATTGGAATGCAGTGCAATGTAGCTGCTGTAACAACACCTACAACACCCAGACCACATACTAATGTATTTAAATTAGGGCCCGTTACCCTTGCATCTCCAGAGAAAGACCTATCATGTTCCAAATCCAAATCAGAATCTGTATCTGGCCACTGCCATTCTAATAAGAGTCCGTCTGACTGTAGTACATGGCATGATTTGAGGCAGCGGGCAACTGTTCCACTTGATCCAATCAATCCAACTGATATTGCATCTATCAGAGTCATATTAGGAATTATACCGTAGAGTTCCACAGTATAATTGATATACTCCATTCTCTTAACAAGATCACCTAATGTTATACCGCCTTCAACAGTTATTGTTCTCTGATCAGGATCGTACCAAACGATACGTTTCATGCGATTAAGGGATAGCAGCACTTCTGCTCCTTCTGAGCTGACAGGGTATGAACCTCCATAATGTTTGACACGCAATGAATTTTCTTTTGCTTGACACATTATCTTCAATAAATCCCCTCCATCATCTGGATAGAATGTCTGTGTTTTAATAGCTAGTTGTGAGTCAACCATCTTAAAACCAAGATTTAAAGAAATTCGATGGAATAACTTCGCCGAAAAGTTTCGTAACTATTAGGTTAGCCGGAATATGTCAATAAACGGGAAAATGTCAACACGAATACCATTCATATTACTCAGAAAGAAGTGTTGCGTGGAGAAATGAGTGTGGTAAATAATCTGTAAAAAAATAAAATTGCCATGTCACTTTAATGTATCAATCTACAACAACGAAGCACACAGCCTCTCACTGGAAGTCACACTTTGAACACTGAAAGAAAAGAACAAAATAGCGATTGATCTTCCTTTGTTAATCGTGTTGCCATCTTACACGAACACAAGTTTTAAGAAAGTTGGTAGTTTGCAGGGGCAGATTCTAGATATAATAAATTATCAAAATTCATCAATATACACGACCAACAATAGTAGTATACATCAAAATCCAAAACTGCCCGAACGCTTCAAAATCGACAGTGTATTAAACATATTATCACGTTTATCTTGTAGGTTGGCAGCTCGTAATATTGCAGTGCAATTTTCATCATGATTGCGTGGGCTGAGTGTATAAAATCACTACGACTGTATAGTCTAGCATGTTCTTAATTTTAGGTTATAAAATAGAGATCTAAATTATTTGAATTATAACTCTGTGGCATATTGGGCAGGAAACTACGCATTTACGTCTGAAGTCAACTGTGCTCTATTTTGGGCGATAATGGTAACGTGAATCTGTATGTTTATAAGTTAAATATCGTAAGAGTGCTTCAGTTGTACAATTATTTATTTTTCAAATGCAAAAGATTAATTATAGTTGACATTTGTCCACAGACAGGTGTTATTGTAACAGGATTAGCTCTTGCGGCCGTCGGTTTCGTAGGAAGAGCTGTTTATAAGCAATTACCTAATGTGTCTCAAAAATTCAGTGAAGCACTCAAAAGCATGCCTGCTCTGGATTCTGCGGTTTGTTTCTCAACATACATTTAGTTATAAAACTTTTATTTAATGTATAACAACAATATGACATTATTCTTTCAGACATTAGCAAACAGTAAATATTACAAAGGGGGTTTTGAACCCAAAATGACAAAACGTGAAGCCGCACTGATCCTAGGAGTATCTCCCAATGCTAGCAAGCTCAAAATAAAGGTTTTGCTTAATGCCTTTTCTATGCTTCTGAATAATTTCTAATGTAGTTTCTAGAATATAAGAGAACATGGAAATGAGATACTGAAATAAATTTCTTTCTTTAGGAAGCTCATAAACGCATCATGTCACTCAATCATCCAGACCGTGGAGGTTCACCTTTAATTGCTGCAAAGATCAACGAGGCCAAGGATTTACTGGAAACTGGGAAGTCATAATAGTGTTCCAAGATGTAGTTCTAGCAGAATATAAAAGTATTTGATCATTCTTTGACTAATGTAAATATGTAAATAATTTTAAGTACTCATAGTATGGTGAATATATTCTTCCACAAACATTTTAAAAAGTTATTTCCCTTTTGAATGAAATTGTGGATTATCATCGAATGTCTTGGACACGACCAAGAATAATCTTCCTATGTAATTTAACCAACAAATTCAAATAAAATAAGTTTATTTGACCATGTGTAAGAAGCCACTTCTACATTATTTCTTTTGAATGCTCATGGCTGACTTACCTCCTTTTTTAATGCTTCAAACTGTACTTTTCAAAATACTTTTAATATCCGCAAAGGGGAAAAAAAAACAACCTTCAGTTAAATTAACCCTTTGCTCTCCTAATTTCTAGGGCCTCTATCAGAACTATTTAAATTCTACTACACCCTCAATACAAGGCGTTAGCAGACGTCAAAGAAAAAGGCATTTTAGGTAAGATTTTCACAACAGCATTTTTCTAACCTCTAAGAAAATCTAATGAATGATTTTAAAACTAAAGTCTCAATGTAACCATGTTAGACATTTACAGTGTTTGCATTGCTGAACATGGAAGAGCTGGGAATTTAACTAGGATTTCCTCTTTGCTCCGCCAGCACTGTATCCACTAAGCTATTGCAATTTACATCAAGAGAGACCCATTTAGTCAACATTGGTAATATCATTAACTAGTTTAATATAGCCTAACAAATTTTCTAAAAATTGAAATGGCTCAAACCTGGTAGACACATTTACTTCACAGGTGTGTCCACCTGTCGAGCATAAGCCAATGCACTGCATAGCTCAGAAAAAGTGTGTTGAATGTGACAACGGAGCTTAAAGACTAATATATTATATGTAATTTAGCCATCTAATTTGGAATTCAAAGTTTTTCTGTTCCTTTCACACTAGAGAAAAGAATACAAACGTTTTCTTTGGATTTAATTTTTTTAAATGAAAATGAAAGAAAAATTGTTGGTTGTAAGCAACTGATATCCAACCACTGTATTCAAAAATATCAGTACTTTTGATTCTTCCACTAATTTGAGAAATCAAATATTCAAATTTATGGAAAGCAAAGTTTGTTTTGCACTAGAGGGAAAACTACGAAGAAAATTTATTTATGCATCAAGCCACGAGTTCTAGAAACATGACAAATATAATTAAGATGTTGTGAGAACATATTAACATAATTATGTTAAAGGAATGTATGTTTGATATACATCTAGTAGTACATGATAATTTTTTTTTTCTTCACAAAGAACAAGTGATGAAAACTTAATTTTATACGAGAGGAAAATGTTTTTAACCTGTTATTAATTGAACTTATAGTGTGAATAAACAGATAACACTATTACATTTGATGTTAATGATCTTGACCTACAACTCAGCAACCTAAAAGGAGCATAATTTATCTGATTTTACACAAATGTGGAGAATAATTAGAATGCAGAAGTACAAACATTTCTCACTTTCGGCAACAAGTTTACTAAGCTACTTTACTGAGAGAGAAAAAAAATTGACATTTAGAATTACATCTTTCTCCCATTTGAATAATGTGATATTTCTTCCAAATTATATTACGTAGAATTTACCAGGAACCTAAACATAAATGTACTAGGAGACGAGGCGTGTTGGTTACAATTTTCCATGTCAAATATGGCCGCAGGGTCACAAACATCACTTTGCCAGTCTCTACGCACTTGAAAAGGCATCTCAGATCTTTGTAGCAGGCACTTTTTCAGGAATTTAAAAAAATTAGGTCTCTTCCCAGGTGTTTGTTTTGTGAACAAATTTTCCAAAAACTACAGATATTGGTTTGTTCTTTTTATTATGTTGTCTAGAGAAATATCATTTACATGTGAATTGTACAATAACCTATTCAAAAAGCATTTTTTACAATAACTGTTCTGCACAAAGCCTAAATTACTTAGGTTTCATTGCACAGTAGGAGATATTATCTACACATCCACAAGCAAGGAGTGATGCACGAGCTCCCAAGTATAATAAATTAACCTTTCGCGACACAGGTTCTTCCTAGACAACGTTAACTTTCCAAAGGCTAAAATATAGTTAATACTGTTGAAGGAGCTAATGGAACTTGCAAGGAACTGAAGCAGGACGGTATAGAATTAAAATCTGTTGATGCCATTCACATCTATCAAAGTGATCACCTTTGGATATGCATTGTTAAAAATGGTGAAATATTGGCACCAGTTGATTATATAATGTGGCATGGCATAATGAAACAAAAATAGAGAGATCATTATTGAACACATGACAGCTGCCACTATACTTCTCTACATCCCTTTAGGGGAAAAGTTTTTTGGAAACTAGAAAACTCAAGAATTTGTTTATCTTGATCTATTCCTAAAAAATCATGAAGAGCTAACACACCACTGCAACAAGTATTTTCTTAAAGTATGCACACATACCAATTAATTAAAGAATAATAACAATGTAATTGACATTATCTAACATTTACAACAGTATCTTAATGGGTAAAGCCTTATCATCACATATGAAGCACAAAAATATCTCAGAAAATCACACATTTGATTTTTTCGCCCAAATCTTATCTACATACAGTTTGAACAATCTCAGAGAGAGCAAAATATAGAACAACCACACAATTTATTATACAGAAGATATCTACATTCTGTACAGTCCTTTTATACAAGGCAACTTCAAACTTTTTTCAAGCAGAAGGAAAAAAGATCCTCCTTTGAATGCAGATGTCTTTTGTAGAGTATTAAAATGTGAATAACAAGAGTTGTGGCTGTCTGGCTGATCAGGTGTATCTCTCAGACAGGTAAATGAATCTTATAAAAAATCCCTGCCCTTTTCTCTAAGATCCTCATTCATTGCCAAACATCCACAAGGAAGGCCCCATGTAACAGCTATCGGTAGGAGATAGAATGACATTCACCCACACACAAGAAGATAAAATTTAATATAAATTGGCACTAGCAGCCATTAGATAGTTTTCAAAATTGGCATTAAGATAGAAGAAACAAATTAATCCATATACACTAATGTACACATTTCTGCTTTCTGGCAGGAAAAATAGCACAGTGAAAGCATTAACTAGGTTATCTCTGATGCAATATTTAAATAGTTTGTAGCATAATGACAGATGTCAATGCTGAAATCTTTCTATCTAGAAAGTCATTTTAAATATTTTTATACAAAGGCTTACAGAGCTAAAATGTATATTGCTTCATTGTTAATAGCCTCTAAATGTCTAATATTTATCACTATTTTTCTTGATATTGCCCCTTTGAGCAATTTTGTACATAATACTGGTAACCTATTTCATGTGCACACAAAATATGGTTTAATTTGTCTACTCAGACAAAGGTCGGAATGGTTCAACATTCAGTACTCTACAACAGTTAGATAAGAATACAAGAATTATTTGTCATTTGAGTTCCGGTACCACAGATGGGACATTGCCAACATGAGATCACTGCCTCCTAGTGCACAAATAAACATAAATTCTTACATCTGTATCCACAGTAAAATTCTACTCGAAATATAATCTCATATTTAGTGCTCTGCTTTGTCCAATCCTGCTTTATATATCATTGCATAGTACACCTTTTAAAAAGAGGAACACAATGCAAATATTCGTTCATTGGATGGAAACCTTTTTCTCCCTGCTAACTATTCCTCTACAAATTATTATTGTATTTAAAATAAAGAAACGGTTCAGCAAAGAAGGATTCCAAGTATCACTTTACTGTGGGCTGGATGGAAATTCTTTAAAATTTGTTTTGCTGGGAGTCAATCAAAAGCAGCTCACCGTGGCTGCTGATCTAATTTATGTTGAGCTAGTTTGGTGCGCAATCTTGAAATGGAACTCGCTGGTAAGGAGCCTGGAGTTTTAAAGATGCTCTATAAAATAAAACATTTATATTAAGAAAAAAATATAGCAATGTCACAAAGAGTCAATTTATGCAGATGAAATATTACTTCTCAAGAAATGGAATTTAAATTTTAAAAATTCATATGCAATAAAACAATAGTAAAATAATATTAAAAACAATTGGAAAATGTATTTCAATTTTCAGGAATTGATTTTCTAATAATGAATTTGTAAACTGTTCAAGGTAGGTTGTCAGTTCAAGGTAGAGTAAATTTACAAATATCAACTCTTGTAATCAATTTTTGAAAGACAATTAAATTCTCCAATGTTTTGCAAGAGGGAAATTTTTACTTGTGAAAATATATTATTTTTGTTTACAACCAGTGGTATCTCAAAAACAAACAACAAACAGAAATATTTTCTACCAACAGGAATTTTGGAAATTGACTTAGTGATATAAAAATTAGCACATTGCTGTCATGAAAGCATTACTTAAATAATTTCAAATCAATATCCTGAAATATTTTCAATTTCATGAATTGTTATTACTAAGTCATTTTATTTTCCAACATATTACATACTAATTATAGCAAGTTTGCATTTGTAATTTAATTTCTGATAAAATTTAAATCAACTAATTCATTTCATTTAAGAAAGTAAAAATATAGTAATTTCAAACCTGAAATGATTAAACTTTCATTTCATGTATAAATCACAATGGAAAGAATTTTATAAAGATAGTAATTGAAATTCACAATATCATTGAAAATTGATAATGACAAATAATTCAAATGATAATATGCATAATTCATGATACGGATAGTAAAGAAAATAATTATTATTTCAGAAAGAACTAAATTAAAAAGAAAAACTCGCGGTGCTTCAACAAAGTACAAACTTTCTCAAACAATAGCAATACACAACAAAACTAAGAAATCTTTGTTTGTTGTTGTTTTGTTGTTTCAATAATTAAAATGTTTCAGATTGAAAATTAATCTTTACAGAGTCACTCCCTCCATTACTTCTATTATGTATTTACCATCAGAAACACACAGAAATTGCTAGTGATTGAACTAATATTTTAATAAAGTTTCAAGTGAAAGTATGAACTGTCACATTGTGCAATAAAGACATTTACTCCTTCCATTCTTCACATCTGACCTATCTACTTCAGCCCATATATTGCACATTTTTGGATTTTAAAAAATTACAAAAAGTCAGTAAAAACACAATCTCATTTGCTAATGAGTTGATCTACAGTGCAACTCTAGGAAGGTCTCTCTATTTTTTTTAAACTAAGTAAACAACATTCCCCTTGCTAGGAAGAAAATAAAACAATTAATAAACTTAACAGTAACTAATATCTAGTCATAGTTTTCAGATTAATTTAGGAAAATGCTCCCTTACAAACATTTCCAATTCAATGATACGTATATGAAAAGGAAAAGAGAAAAAAAATTCAAAAATTTGCAAAAACAAAACAAACATGTAATGAAATAGTGTTTTACCTGCATGAAATCATGGCACTGCATCACCAAAGAATCGTGTGTGATTTCTTTGAAGCATTCTGCAAGAGAGGAGAAGTCACTGCATTGCAAGAGTTGTTCACGATTGCGTTTGATGAGTGTGATGCATACACGAAAGATGATCTTGGAACCTTCATAGAAAAGGCAGTCCCACACACGCAACACAGTCTGAAACACCCCAAAATCGAACCACTGAAAGGCCAACACAAATTCAAAACTCTAGTGTTAGATATGCACTTCAAGATGAACAACAAGTCAGATATTTCAAGATTCTAGAGTAAAATATTTCTTATTTTCTAAAATTATCTTGTCTGTTTTAAATAATAAATAATAACAATTTCATTACAAGCGATTATTACTCGTAAAAAATTATGTTACAAATCTAACCAGGTCATTTAGTGCAGAAACCCATCAAGTGCACGGGTATAAACATTAAAAAAAAATGAGATGAGAAAAAAAAAAGATTTACTTGAAAACTATTCATTTATCAATTGCTTTAACACTAAAAAATACTTTGAAATCGGAAAAACCAATACTACATCGCTAGGAAACTTTTTTCTTAGTTTTCATGAAATGAGGAATTTGGCATTTGACAGATTTCTGAAAGAAACTATTCAATTGCATTTAAATATAGAAACGCAAATTAATTGTACAGAAAATTAATTTTGCTTTTTATTGATAGTTACCTCAATAGGAAGCACCTCTGCAAAGAGACAAATGAACCACTTGGTAGTAATCACAGCCCATGGCAAACCCACATTTCTCACATGACGGTACACATCAGGTACCTTTGCTCTATAAAGAAACATTTAAATTATTAAATAGTTAGACAAACTCTCCAACAAAACAAGAACTAGGTTGATGTGTTAGAAAAATGAATAGTTAAACTACTGAAAATATTATAGAAAAAGATTCATAATACAAATTTGAAAGCAAAAATAAAAAGGCTCATACATTTCCTTTTTTATTACTACAACTGGTATTTAAAGCCATTCACACACATTAAAGACACACACTAAAATTACTTTGAAAAAAAAAAAAGTTTTTTTAATTATGCCACATAGGTTTCATATTCTATATGATATCAACACTTCAACCATGTTTCAAGGTATTGGATTAAACGTCCTCCTCCATATGCACTCCCAGTACTTAATGCGGGTTCTTATTCTAGTCTCACTACCTTATAAAAAATCTTAATATAACTTCACAAAAAACAGGGACTAAGAAAAATTTTAATTCTTCACACTGCAATGGAAAGATCTGTTATAAATGTAGCTATTCAACATGCCAAGTCTTAGATCAAGCACCTCCTCAGGGAGACACAGAGATAAAGATCAGTTGCCCAAGAGATCAAACTAGTTCAGCGGTTCATACCACATACAGCAAACCGAAAGGTGAAATAACTGAGAACTTCTTTTGAAACAATGTACCCTATTTACAGTACTATACCTGACTAGTTCTTCCAACACTGCTATGTCCGTAATTACTCCATCCATAGTGCGTGTATAATATTTTGGCAATACACGCTCAACTAGTACCTTCAGGAGCCAAAATGTCGTTTCATCATCCTTTGTGACCAATAATAACAGCCCTGCAATGTAATTCAATCCCTGGAGGGAGAAGATTTTTCTAAGCGCAGGAAGTATGAAATAGAATACATAAAAAATTATACTCTTGATCATACTAAAAATTTTAGACATTAGTTTATTGGACATTAATACTGAAATAATACTCCATAAACTATCTAAACAAAAAAAGGATAATTTTTACAATACTCTCAGACATATTAAAAATGTTTATCAACATCACAACCTCCACAAGTGTCACCATGTATTGAATAATTATTTCATACATTGATATTCATATTTCTTATTATATCATTGAAATACACATTCTTAGCAACAATGTTTGTGAAACATGAAACAACTAGTTATATTATTCTCAATATTATTAATAGTAGTAGTCGGTACTAAAATAACAGTAGGTCAGTTTTTGACATTAATTTACTTTAGTAATTTTATATGATGGGATGAACCTCATTATATTTTTAACATTTATATACCTTAAAATTTTATAATGTAATCTAAGTTCTAAGGTATAATATACTTGGAATAATTTTGGGCCAAAACGTCACAAGAATAATTAGAAGCAAATTAAGGTTATTTTAATTTATTTTATTAGAGGTTATTTTTTGGATAGTTATTATAATTTTTTTATTATTCTGTTTTAATTACCACCAATTTTTTATTCGAAATTGTTAAAAAGAGGATAATAGAGTACAATTCAAAATTCCATACTGTTGACGTACTAGAATCAAGTCTCACACAAAAAAAACAACTAAGTCAATACTGTATCTACACATTTGTTTAAAAGTGTTGACACAACTTATTAATTGTATTAAAATTACTGACTGCAGAAAAATATATTAGCATTTTTGTCATTACCAACTAAGAACTTTTACTACATTAATCTGCTTCACTTCTGTTTAACCATTAGAGTAAATTACAAACGGAATACCAATTCTTTTTAACAATGTTTACGGGACCCTTTTATTCGTGCGTTTCAATAATCCAGTCAACTCCATAATCCGAAAGGTGAATTCAGTTTATTAACATTCAACTGTGTATGTCAATTTCTAATGTAACCTCTAAGTCCATAAACACATCACAAAAACTTTTCTTTAGAATTCATCCAAATATTACGACACATTAAATTAATTCCTTATTTTACGTGGCGAGATACACATAATGACCAACATTTAGCATGTATAACAATAATAAAAATTACTGTTCTCAGGTTTTTCCCCCTCCAAGACAGCACAAAATTCACACAGGAACAATCATAATTGATAACTTACCTGGCAATAACCTACTTCTTTATTGTCGTGTGCATATGCCACAAGAATATTGCACAGTCTGATCTGATGATCATCAGCAGCATTAAAGAAAATATTGTCTGGATATGTTCGTGGCAGGTCCATTTTGACAGTGTCTATTATTTCCTGGTCCTTAGGGCCTGATAAAAGTCGCTGATACCAATCATGCCCCAATTCTTCCCTCATAATATCTGCTCCACTAACCGTCATCCATACCTTCAAACATATGCCTTGTACATTACTTTTCATAAATATCAAGAAAAAGTATGTAATTTAAAGAAACTGCAAGAAATTACAGAAAAAAATTAACGTCATATATTGGAAAAAAAATACTTGAAAATCACCAACTTACCATCCCCCTATGTTCCCCTGGAATTCCTTTCCTAACATAACGTTTTACAGTAAGACTCCTTTTCAAGGATTTTCCTTCCCCAATAAGCTCGTGCCACTTTTTCGCTCTTTTCGCGAGAACCACCAAGTACTGTGACATGAAATCTTCGTACGTTTCATAATCGAAATCCTCTGGTCTCTCAAAGCCATACTCATCAACCTTGCTGCAATAAGTAAATAGGGTAACGCATATATTAGAACCCCGAGAGCCCGAAGGTGCAATATCATCGGAATATTGAGCTGCCATCACTTTTGCACTTCAATGCACAGTCCTATCACTGTCATCGGTAAAACCCATATTCCGGCAAATTTATAAGTTATTCACAGGTGAGTCGATAAAGAACTATAAACGTGCTATTGTTCAACCCGCTAAAGCAAACACGGCTTAACATAAAGACTATAGAGTTTTTTAGAGAATATTATAAACTGCAATATAACTTATAATTTGTACCTTTCAATTCAAGCAATACACACCTGAAAACCGAACTTGCCATCCCACACCATATCACTTCACCATGTCTCGCGGAAGGCGCCCGGTGGTTGTGTTACCAACTTCTGAGAAATAAAATTTCAAGGCTCCCAGATGAATAACAAATAAGATATAATTGATTACCACAAATGCTTTATTAAATATATTATTTTATTACATTCATGTGCATACATTAATTTTTCATTTCCTATATACATACAAAAGTATTAAAAAATATGGCACATATCAGAATTCAGTTCACAGTATGTAAAACTGCTTTCTTTATCATTATCGGAATTAGTCATGCAGTTTCCTGATTTACATCAAACCAGGCGTCAGACTTTTTTTTAGAAAATGTCACAAATTCTACGTCACATTATCATGTTTACTTTTTGACTTGACAAGTGATGCAGTCGGAGTGCTCAAATCTCGTGACGAAACACCGACCACACTAGACATATCAGAATCTCCCGTGAAAACAACCTGTCTATGCGCCCAGGAAACACTACCACTACCATCACTAGCTGCTGAGGCATCAGCAGGGGTGGAGTGTCCCCGGCGCGGAACTGAACGCGTGCTCGCCACTGCACTGAGGTTCGTTCCGTTCCCTCCCCCAAGCGCAGTGTTGCTATTGTTGTCACCGCCATTTCCACCACCCCCGCCCGGTCGCGAAGCTCCGCGAGACGCTTCCGAGCTAGAAGAACTAATTGCCATTGCTTCTTGAGTCTTGCGTAGCATCGAGGCGGCCCAACCTAACCCCAAACGCTCGAACATGCCTTCGAGATCTTCCGGCAGAGTTTCGAGGGTACCACTGTCCTCCATTGTCTGGCGCAAGATATCGTCTGCCAGCTGTTGCTTCGACGACGCCTCGTGTGAAGGGTCGAACGCCGTATCCGCGCCGCCACGTTGGCGCCGCTGCTGCTGCTGCTGCTGCTGCTCAGGGGAATCGGGGCTGGAGCGCTGCGCCTTCCGAGGCGTTGATGAAGACCCCGAGATCAACAGGTCGCTGACGAAATCGCTCGACGCGCCAGACATTACAGACACGTCGACATCCACATCGATCTGGGGGCCGGACTCGGCGCTTTTCATCCACGAGAAAGGGCTCCTGAGGACCCCGCGTCGAATGAGCTCCGCCACAATGTCCGGGTCGTTTTCATCTTCCTGCTGCTCGGCCTCCGCGACTCGCGGAGAACAACGAGCACCCGGAGAGCACGGCGGGGAGCAGGGCGGGGGCACGGGTTCAGGCGATCCGGAGCGGGGCGGTGTGGTCGCAATTTGGGGCGACACGGCGCACGGAGGAGGGAAAGGATAAGAGCACGGAAGGAAGTCGCTCTGGACAGGAGGAGAGTCTTGCGAGTGGGGTGGGCCTGGTGAGGGGGAAGGAGGCGCGTGTGTGATGGGCCGGGCGGAGGCAGACGTAACAAACGGTAAAGATTCCGGAGGCAACCAAGGGTCGCCTCGTTGCGCGGCCAGATGAGTGGCGATCAATAACCCATGGAGATTCTCTCGTGGACCCATGCTGAATTCCGCAGCTTCGCCCGTTACTGTCCCGAACACCAGCGGGGAATGAGGCGGCGGTGGTGGCGGCGGCGGTGGCGGCGGCTGCGCCGGGGAGCGGCGTTCGGAACCTTCGCCCTCCAACACCGACTGGGACACGTCCGCCTCGGGAATGGCGCTGAGCTCGTGCTGCTGCACGTACGGCACGCCGGGCCGCCACATGGCCGGCGGCGGTTTCGGCCGCAGCACTCGCCCCCAGGCGCCGGGGCAAGGCGGCCAACTGCCCGGCGCGAACACCCACAGCGTGTCGTTGTCCTCGCCGGCGCCCACGAGCCCCTCGTCCGGCGGCGCGGAGACCATGGGAGGCGACCGCGTCGGCGAGGCGGGCGGGGAGCGTGCTGCTCGAGGCGACACCACGACGGCGGGCAGACGTGCGCGCACACCCCGACGGTGACGGAACACTGAGGAGGACGACGCCGTCGCCGTGGCGAGGTATGCTGCCCGGGCGCTCGGAGGCGAGCGCCGACGGGCGAAGTGCCCCTTGGGTGACTGTCCGGCGGCGTCGGGCACGCGGGGGACGCGACGAAGGCAGCCAGCCGGTCGAGGACGCAGGCCGAGCCGGGCGCGTTGCGCGCGTCGGGGCGCGGGGGCGAGGCGGGTTTGCTGCCCGGCGCTCGGCGGGCTTGCCGCTGAAGCCTACTGGAACCACGTCACGTTTCCGCCGTCCTGGCCTCCGTGGAGTCCCCGGTGGACCACATCCACCCGTTCTCGCGCCGGGCGAGCGGAGCGGGGCCGAATCCGGCGGGGTTACGCAGGCGCGTGCAGGAACGCGGGCGCCAGTTCGGCGGGCGCGGGTCTGTTGGCGCGCGCACGTCTACCCAGAGGCGGGCGATGCCGCCCCGTCGGGGACGACGCTCGCTGGGTGCCTGCCAGCCCGCAAGTTGCTCTTCTCGCTGCGCACGGCTCGGAGAGGCGCGCCCAGCGCTCTCGGATGAGCGCGCGCACCGCTAGCGACATCTCGCGACGTCGCGGCGCCACTGACCCACGCGTCTTCCGGCTCGGCACGCGAGCGTTGCGGGGGCGGCGCGAGCGGCCATGCCCGCGTCGCACGCGCACCACGACGCCGACGGCTGGAGTCGCCGTCGCCGCCGCCCACGCCGCAGCGGCCCGGTCTAGTCCGGGCTGTCGTGCGGTAGGACGGTGGTCGCCGCGCGGGCGCCGACGCCGGACACGCTCGGAACGGCGTCGGAAGCCCCGCGCTATGAACAGCGCGTAGACTGCATGTAGTCCGTAGTGTCATGTTGGCGCGAGGGGCTGTTCCGGCGCGCGCCGTTCGGCTCGCCGCAGAAGAGCGGCGACGCGTGACGCCGCGCACGAGGCGGCACACTGCGAGCACACCTGCCTGCGGCGATCGTCTGTGCCTGCGGAAAACGGCGGCGACGCGACAGCTCGACGTGTGGCTGGAAAACTTGGACACGGGCGGCCCGACACGCGGGAAGGCGCGCTTCGGGCGGGGCTTTCCGGGTGCACGAAGCACGCCGGGAACCGTCGTGCGAGCAGCTCTGTCCGGCTGCGTTGGGCGCGGCGCGAGCACGGCTCCGCGGCAGTGGCGGGCCAGGCGCCACTCCGCGCAGAACCTGTCACGTCCTCGGCGTCACTTCCACCCCCCGACCTGGCCCGGGGCAACCGGCCGCGAGGACGCGGGGTCGGCGGGCGCCGGCGTAGCCCGCGCCCGCCCTCTCCCTCCCCCGCCAACACGCCCGGTTGAAGCGGTCGCCGAGCACTCGGACGAGAGCGAACGTCGCTGGACTCACGATTGAGCCCTCCACGTTGGCCTGGCTCATTGCGAGCGGCCTTGACTAGCTCTCAAACGGATCGAGCGGTCGTGGCCCCGCGGCCACCCCCCGCCCCCTCGCTGGCACTTCCCTCCGCGCCAAGACGCCGGGCACCGCGCGGCACCGCAGCAGGGCCCCACCCAGCGCCTCGAGGTCGCGGCGTGCAGCTGTCGGCGGCTGAGGTTAGAGCGTGCTTGCGCTCGCGGGCGCGCCAGGGCGGCGGTGCGGCCAGGCGCTCAGACCGCAGCGCGGGCCGCGGCAGCGGGCCCTCTTGGCCGGGAGCGCAGCGTGCCCCCGCCGCCCAGTCTTCTTTTGTTCGGCGGGCGCCGGCACCGCTTCGGGACTTGCGCCGCTTGGCGTTGCGCGGTCACGCGGGCACGGGCACGCGCGGGAGGGCGGGCGCCGGTCGACCGCGGGCGCAGGAAGGGGCGGGCGTGCGCAGGAGCGCGCCGGCTGGCGGCGCGGCGGGCGCGCCGCCCGCGCTTGGACGCCCGGGAGCCGGCTGCGGCGTCCGCACGAGCGCGACGGGCCAGGGGGACGCAGGCGACGGACTGGCGCGGACGGCGGAGCAGGTGGCTGGCGAGTCGCCCCGACACCTGGCGGGACGCCGGGGGCCTACGTGCCAGGCCGCGTCGTTGGCGTCGCATGGCGGTGGTGGCGCGCGGCGGCGCCGTCCCCGCGTCCGCCGTCGCCCGTATGAGCTGAACGCGCACGCATGTGCGTCGCCGTCCGCGCGCCGGAAGCAGCGCACACGGCGCCCTCCGACGCTTGAACGCCACGTCTCCACGCTAGCCTCGCGCGCCCTGGAGGCGAGAGGACGGCGGCGCCCCTGCCGAGAGGGCGTCCAGCCCGCCTGCTCCTCCGCCCCCGTTCGCGCCCGCCCGCGCCGCCGCCGCCGGTCATGCTCCGGCCCGCGGCCCGCCCTGTGCCGCCCTCCCGCCGCGCAAGCTCCTTCCTGCGGTTGCTGCCCGGCGTCGAGCCGAATCGCCTCCGGCCGGTGGCCTCGGCCTTCGTCCGGCCCGTCGCCCTCGGCCTGCCCGCTCGCGTGCGCGTGGCGGGGCGGCGGGGGCGGGCACGGAGTTTCTGGGCGGCAGCGGGGGGAGAGGCGAGCAGGAGACTGCGCCTACGACGCTGCGTCAGACCTCCGCGGACGCGATTCGCCGGGCCCCGTCGTGCGGCTGGGTGGAGCGACCGGCAGCGCTGGCACGCTGCGACGCTCCGCCGTGCCCGCTAGAGGGCGTCCCGCTGGCGCCACCGCTCCAGCAAGCCCCTCCAGCCTCCAGTCACCTGCGCCAGGCCGCGAAACAATTTAAAATCTTATATATACAACTGTACATATTGTGATATACGAAAAAATCCACAATTGTGTAGGGTACTTAATTAACCTCTGAATTTGAAGACTGTTTTTGTTTACAAGACTGTAACATCATCAGGTAAGAGTGAAAATTAAAAAAACTTAGAAATCTTTTCAAAACACTTCACAACTTCTTTTCGCTCCGTAATCTCTATCCCACTTGCCTTACCAATTCATGTTGAATTAAAAATGAAAAGTACAACGAGCTTTGTTATCAAAATTTCATATTCTAAAACATTTCTCTCAATACAAATGATTTTGCATCCGAAAAAAAAGCTACACACTCTATACAATCAGTCCCTCCCTACTCTTTCCCATTACAAATTACACCCTAGAAAATGTGTGTCGTAAAGCCTGTAATTTCAGGATAATTTCAGTTCTACCACTCAGACATTTTTCTGGACAATTTCTGAATGGATTATATACTATATTCTAAAAAATGCAAGAAGTGATATTAAGTTTACTCTATGTTTGAAAGATAATAAAAGCTTATCCAGCCAAATTTAAGACACATCACAAACATTCAAATTAAAGACACAATCATCATCTGCTCTCCTTAAATTGTCAAAAGTTGCTATTGAACAAAAAAAAATAATTAAAACTATTTCGAATCTTCTCAACAAAAATTCAGACATGAGGTAAATGGGATAATCAGAATGAATGAAATTGTGAAACATATTATATACACCAAAGAGAGTTGCAAATTTAAATGGTTGTTAGTTCTATAACCGATACAATTTTAAGCCTTAAGTGCAATACCTATCATTTGCAGTTTCTATTGAGTACTCTTAGAACATTTTCCATGAAATGAAGGAACCAGTCTGTTTCACACATGAAATCACACTGTGGCATACTTCATTTCACATTGGATCTGCAATATGCAGACCCATCAAAGGGAAATACCCATCTTCTACACAAGCTATGAAGTTAAAATAAAAAAGTTCCTCTGTTCTGTTACCATGGAAATAATATACAAACACCTTGTTCTGTTTTAGTTACCACACACCGAGAGTCACAATCATACTCAATATTATAACATCGAGAAGTAAAAGACAATATCAAGAAATGCACCAATTCAAACTTCAGGAAAACCTGGTCAAATGAAATGTTCTAAATTACCATTCATTGTGACAAATTCATTTTCAAGATACCGTTTCGAATTGCAACTTTTATCATCTAATATATCCAGATCTATTATCAACTTAAAGAAGAATCTAACTAACATTTATTAAGTAATGTTAGTGCAAAAGTACATGACAAAAAATTAGGCAGGAATTACATGAGCAAGGAGACATGAAAAGCAAAACATCATTCATTCTAAAATTAATAGTATAATACCAAAATTCTGAGAATGTAAAGATTTCTTCTAATGAATTTAAAACCAAGTTAAATGAAAAATTAAAACAATGTCAAATTTAAACACATTACTTTTTTTAAGTAAAAATAACAAAGCCTTTAGAAGAATAATATACTATTAACTGTTTCAATTTTAATGTTTTTAACGATTTTAAGTTTCGGAATAAATCATATTTTTAACTGGTATGCTAATATTAGAATCAATAATAAAAAATATTGTAGTTAAAATCCAAATAATCTCAACACAAAATTATGGTTTTACATTTTTTAAAACTTACGAATGGATGGTCCAGGGAATCCCAAACATGTTCGCCATTGGTCTACTTTGCAACAAAGTCTCCCTTAAGGCATTGCCCCACATAATTCGCATTCTTTTCCGCATCGATAGACTGCATCTCTGCACAGGAAATGTGTTGAAGAATTGATGATAGTGAACAAGAATAATATTTCTCAGATGATGAAGGGTTGCGGTGGCTGGGCTAGTGTATATAGTGCAAACAGACCCCGAGTTGACACTGCAGGGTGGCTACATGCCCTACATTCAGCTGCAGCAGTGGACTATCCGCCTCAAACTGATTGGCTGTCAGTTGGGCCCCTCCCCGACCCAGGACAACAAAGCACTCAGAAATGCTGCAGGACACACACACAGACAGAATGCGGAAAGCAATCCCTCAATTGCACTGCCACTGTTCCTTATGTCAGCTAAACACATACTGAATTATTTGTATAACTATATTACTTAAAAACGTACTCTATTCCTAAAATTACCTTGACTAAAAAAAATGTTTTTGCCTATTAACAACTACCAAATAACAATACATTGCTGCAACACAAAAATCACTTGCATTCTCTCCAATCATTCATTTGAGTAATCCAATTATTTGTTGAGGAATCTACAAATAGCAATCAGAGTCCCTGCAGCTCAAGAATCTACTCACTCATGTTCCCCTTGAATAATTAGCACTGTCTTTGCATTCAATTTGACTCACAGCAACACTGAGTATGTTTAACAGCAAGAAAAATTTTGGTTTTTTAAAAAAAAAAAAAATAATTTAAAATTAAAAGAAGAAAAAAAAAAAAACCCCCCCATAAAAACCTTTTTTCCCCCAAAACCCAATAAGTTTTTCTCTTTGGAATCCCCAATGGTATAGTGTGAGAGATAAAATCCATAATCATACTAACAAACTATCCACCCGTAGTGTGCAAATTAAATAGACTAACCATACTTTTAAATGAATATCATTATTTAAAATAAAAAATTCATAATTTCTGTAAATATTTTGGATACTAATTTTGTATTGTTTTCCATATTAGTAAATTTGTACTTTTCCAAATCACATAAAAGGTTCTTACAAAATATTTATATATCTAATTAAACTACTCTCAGCATTCTTTAAACTGTTCTAATAATTTGTCTGTACCAGTGTTTGTAATTCAGTCAACTGCTGCAAAAATCCATTTATTAATTTCCTAAGAATGGAGAAAATAACGACTAAAAACCTTACCTTGCCTGTACAGGAACAGGTTCGCAACATCACATTGAAGCATAATTAACTGGAGAGACATTGGGTGATTGTAAGAGCGAAGCTCCACATTACTACCACATTTTGAAAAGCAGAAGAAATAATATGCTGACGTTCTGCATTTGTTCTTTTTCAAGCGGAAGCATTCAAATGTGTGCTTCACCGGGCCAAAATATTCATGATTAATTTTAAACCAAGAAGAATTATAATCTAGTAAAGAATTAATTGTGTAATAAATTATTTTAATGTTACCAAACAATTCACCTTATTCTCAACTACATGAAAGTTAATCTCACATGTTTCAATTCAAATCTGACTCAAAATTGGCCGAGAAAAAAAGAAGAAAAAAAACTAAACCTGTAACAACAGAAATGTTTCCCATTGTAATTCCACTCTTATCGAGCTTAACAAAGATGCTAAGAAGTTTTGGAAGATGTAATTTGCAATTTACTCTCCATCTTTCCAAACTACTGATAATCAAATTCAAATGCACTTCTACAAAACAACTTATTAGAAAAATATTGAAAAACATATTTTCAGCTTTTCAAGCATAACGGGAAACACAACAGCCCATGACTTAAAATACGACTTTGATATATGAACAGAATTAAATTATGAGCATTAAGAGCAAATTGGGGAGTAGAAAAGTTTAAAAGTACTTGATCTTTAAAAAATATCGTTCTTGATTGACACGTTAGAATTTCCTGCTGTAGTTATCTAGAAATTTAAAAAAAATTGTTTAATCTTTAATAATTAAACCAACATCATAAAATGCA